GTAGCCAATCAAATTCAGAACACAAAACATGTGATCAAATGTGACTAAATTTAAAATATATCCTTACCTCTGTGAAACTCCCTGATTCTGGGTATTACTAGAACCACAAGCATCACTTGGATGCCTCAGCGAGGACGCAGCCTGGAAGGTGAATTTAGCTCCTGCTTGATGGGGGGCTGCTGGCGTGGCCAGCGGAGGAGCAGGTGACGTCAGAGCAGAATAGAGCAGTGGTTTGTGGGATAGGGGACAAGGCCTGTTGGCCCCCACCGGGAATTTCGAAGGAGCCTTTCGATGCTTGAGAACGCTGTCCAGGGTCTTTACATAGCTGGAGCTTTTAGCGGGCAGCTGATAGGACACCGAGCCTTCTGGGTTTGTAGAGAAAGCAGCGGCGCGCTCGCTGATTTGCTGAGCTTCGCTTTCCAAGTACTCATCCAACATGTTGCTGCAGAAGGCAGAGAGGTTCTTTTGTAATCCTTTTTGAGAGAAAGAAGAAAGAGACTTTAATTTATTGAGGAAGAATAATGAATCAGACACAAGTACGTTCAGCTGGTTTCAGCTCAGTTAATCTTTTGGTAATTAGAATGACTACACTAATCCCACGGCACGATAAAAGGAACATTGCAGCAACAACATGACGAGGAGCCCTTACCTTCACCGTTGGAAGACGATGTTTCCTTGGCTTTTACGAACTTGTTTTTCCACCCCTTTATTTTCGTCATGTCACTTGTCTTTCCCGTTCTGGAGATGAAGGGTAGTGCCTCATCTGTGCAGCAAACATAATGCCTTTAGTTACAGGTCACAGCACACTATTATGTTTTAACAATGCCAGCCTGAGTTCTGCAGCAGAAACACAAATTTTAATCAGAATTTGATGCCAATTTTATTCTCTTTGCTGAAGAGAAAAATTGTACTCCTGTTCTTTTCTTATCTGATCGCCCAAGAGCCATCACCTAATCACTTCTGTCTTGACACTATGCGAAGGTTTAATGTGGCATGACTGACAAACAAGAAAGATCTGCAACCTCATATGACACACACCCTTTGAAAACCCACACAACAAATCTCAACTCTGAGATTTCCAACTAGCTTTTCGGTCTCTGCGTCATAGCAGCCGACGTCAGCAGTAATGGCTGTCATCCCTTTGGCTTGAATGTTTGAAGCTGGTGAAGGGTACAGAGGATGTTTAAAATTCCAGTCAGTACCCGACTCCTTATTACAGGAGTACCGATAAGCACCCAGGGAAATGGTGCTTTTTGTACTTTTGTGAGTTTAATTCATCCCAATAAAGCTGTTAAAACATCTTCTTACAAAGCCGCGGCATGTGATCATGTCTGAAGTTCTTTACTACTTAAAAGCAGCTAAATTCAACATACCGAATCTTAGGGCCACACTCAGTACTTTAACCTCCTAAGACCTGAACTCTTCCACGGCATGCATTTTTAATTTCTCTTTGATATTGGGACCTGATGAATGTAAAAACAAAGAATTACATTTTTTTTTTTTTTACCTAATTTTTGTTGTTCTCATTTGTTAAAAATGAGAGCCACTTTTGAGGATATTTGTTTAAAATTTCGATAGAACAGTAGCAGTATAATGTCCTCGTAAGTGGATATCAGGCCCTTGTAGAGCAAAATTGAGTATTTTGGTCTAAATAACCCAAAATGTGATGTCCACATATGTGGACGCCAGGTCCTAGGAGGTTAAAAATAGATCTCTAGTTAAGACTGGGAGACTTTCCATGCTTCGGTTTTCAATACTTTGCTAAATTCTCCTAATAAGTGACCAGCAGCACTAAGCGCTTCACCAGTGTATTGCAATCAGACACATGAATCAAACTTGCTTTAAATCGAAGGATAAACCATCCATGGCACACCAATTCCCCAAGTTAGTCAATATGAACTGAGTTAGTCTGCTTTGAAGGTGGTGCAAGCTTTCCTTAAAAATTAAAAATTTGTGATAACTAATTCACTGCTCATAGCAGTTATCGTGCCAAATCACAACAACAGTCACCTTGAGATACTTTAGATTAGAAGCTAAAGACTCTATAATAAAAGAAAGAAACCTGGAACAATTAGGTGTCGTCTTATGAGCAAGCACTTGGCGAGAGTGGGAAGGAAAAACTCCCTTTAAACAGGAAGACAAGAAACCCCCCCAGAACTAGGCTCAGAGAGGGACAGCTGTCTGCTGTAACCAGTTCAGGGGTGAGGAGAGGGGGACGGCACATTTAGAAATTTAAAACCCCTTTAAAAGCCTGCTTTACACTAAAATAACATACAATAAATGGGTTCCTGAAAACATCCTGCTAAACACATTCAGAGTTTTTACATGAAATAACCCAACAGCAACTAATCGTCCAATCACAGTTCCAGAAATCAGCAGTTTCCAAACTTTGACAGAAGACTTAAAAACAGTCACAGCGGATGAGGTCATCTGGGATGTCATTCCAGAGTTTTGGTGCAACAACAGCAAAGCCATGAGCTCCCTTTGAAATAAGCTTTAACTGTGGGATGAGCAGGAGTGATCGAGAGGCGGGCCTCAAAGACCTTTTAGATATTTCTATGACTTTCTAAGATTGGATTCTGTCATGCAGAGGGAGCCAGTGCAAAACTGCTAACACCGGAGTAATAACATCTCTCTTTTTCCACTCAAGAATCTGGCTGCAGCATTTTGGACTAATTGTAAATGGGCAAGAGATGATTGACTAAGTCCGGCATACAGTGAATTACAGTAGTTCAGTTAAGATGAAACAAAGGAATGTACAACTTTTACAATATCAGAGGACGGAAAAAAAATGTGTCTGGAGGAAACTGCACTTGTCACATTACTATCAGAGACACCTTACCAAACATGCACAAACCTGCTGAGCATGAAGTTTAGATGAAATATT